TCCCCCTAGATCCTAGATCTACCACTAAGATCCTCTTTTTGAGGGGGAGGGGAGTGGGCTGGCAGAGGTTCAAGACAGGGCTTCTTTCTGTAGCCTTGGCTGTCCAGGAACTCATTCTGTAGACAAGGCTAGCCTTGGACTTCAGAGATCCGCCTGCCTCTGCCTCCGAAGGGCTGAGAGAAAAGGCGTGTGCCACCACTGCCTGGCCACTAAGATCCTCTTAATACAACCACGTCTGCATCCATTCTGTTTCCCTTGCTCTGTCCTTCCACCCCACCTTCACACAGACGGCTCCCTCTACTCCCAGCCTCACTCCATCAGGCCCTGGATTCCAAAGCAGACAGCAGGCAGATCTACTGCCCACTCTTGGCCAGCAAGGTCACTGACACACTGAGACACACACACACATAGACAGACATACGCATACTACCCTTTCACTTATTTGCAAAGACACCAAGGGCTCTCAGCACCAGGGTCCACAAGGTCACATTCTGTAGCTTACCACTGCGGTTACTAGACCAGACCCCAACCCTCCCATAGGACTTGCTGTCTACAGACACTGGGATATGGAACGAACACGGCCTCAGCTGCCCAGGCCTAGACATCTGAGTCCCACTGGACAGAGAGATCAGTGTTTCCTGGACACCAGCTACACATCAGGCTACAGTGTCACAGTTGTAATGAACAGGCCCACAGTCTAGGGGTCATCTGGTATGTTGGTTCCCAACCTCAGATGAGCATGAGAATTGTCTTCCTGCTGGGTAAAATTCCCAGGCCCCATCTGACCCAATGACTTACTATCTCCAGGAATGGGACACAGGGCTTGCGTTACTTATCGTCCTGTCCTATCTTCCTACCCTAGCATGGTAGTTAGTCCTACATTCATCCAGCTGGGTGGCATGGGGTGCACCTATAGGCCTAGCTACTAATCAGGGAGAATCATATGAGTGCAGCACTTCAAGGCCGTCTTGAGCCGCACACTGAGACTCCCGAATCAAAACAGCAAGCCACTAATGTCAGATTCTGCTAACATTAGTGTGCTGTGCAGGTGTTCTGCAGATGTGGAGTCAGCTGACCTCAAGGAGATATCGTCAACATCACAGCTGGATATCCTGTAATCAGCTGAAGGCTCGAGAGAGAGAGAGAAAAAAATTCCTGTCAAGAGGAAATTCTGTCTCAAGACAGAAGCATCTTTTCCTGTCTGACTTCCCTGTCTGGCCGAGAACTTTGGACTTGACAGTCTCCACAATCATGTAAACCTGACTCTCATCCTTCAGCAAGCAGTGACCAGCAGGCTAGAGAGCCTGAGTTCTCCAGCCCTGCAGGTGCCCTCCTACCCTGCTGTGCAGTGCTTTGTCCCAAAAGCCCTTCCTCAACCTCCCTGAAATTCTGATCTCTCCAGGCAACACTGCAGGGACCACACAGATCCCAGAACAAGATGTTAAATATACAACTTGCCTCACTCTCTCAGCTACCTATTTTTACAATGGGTATCCCTGACTTGGCAGCCATTATGGATCAGTCACACACACACACACACACACACACACACACACACACACACACACAAACACATCCCCATTCTCTACCCACTCTGTAGTCATCTGCCTCCTCTCTTCTGAAGTAATTCTAATGCAGGTTCTCAACCTTCCTAATGCTGCAACCCTTGAATACACTTCCTCCTGTTGTATTGACCCCTAACCATAAAATTATTTCTGTTCTACCTCATAACTGTAATTTTGTTACTGTTATGAACCATAATATAAATATCTGATATTTCTGATAGTCTTAGGTGACCCCTGTGAAAGGGTTGTCTGGCACCCCCCCCCCCATGTGGGTCACAGCCCACAGGTTGAGTACCATGGTTCTAGGCTTTTTTTTTTCCTTCCTTTTTTGAGACAGAGTTGAATATATCCAGACTGGCCTTGAACTCAGTATGTATCTCCAGAGAGCCGGAACTTCTGATCTTCTGCCTCCACCTCCCCAGTGCTGAGTATTTTACGCTGAGTATTTTTATCCCAGGGTTTCGTGTGTGTTGGGCAAGCAATCTACCAACTGAGTTTCAAGATTGGATGTGTGTTTGTTTTGAGATGACGTCTTACTGAGTTGCTCATCCTGGCCTGGGACTTCTGGTCTCCAAGAATTCCTATGCATATATGTCTCCCAACATACACCACATCCATTTGCTTTTTCCTGGGTCCTGACAGTAGAGAAGGTAAATGGCATGAAGATAGGCTATAACCCCATCACTAGGACCAGGGCTTAACATATGGAGGGGCTCCTTAAAGAGCTGTCACATGAATAGTGATTCACACCAGCAAAGGTCAGCAAAGCTCAGACTGGGAGTTTTATATTTTTATTATTTTTGAGACAGAGTGTCACCATGTTTGCTCTTGCTGGCCTAGAACTCACTATGAGGAGAAGGCTGGCTTTATATACACACATGTATGTATAGATATATGAGTACACATATCTCTATATGTATATAGAAATACATACATGCATACATACATACATACATACGGCTTCATATAGTCCAGGCTGGCCTCAAACTCATTGTATCAGAGGATGACCTTGAACTCCTGATACTCAGAAGTTCAGGGATTATAGGCATTTGCTACAACACCCAGTTTACAGGTGCTGGGGACTAAACCTAAGGTTTGGGCCATATTTGAGGCATCAGAGCTGAAAATTCTTGCCCTTGTGTCCTTTCTCATGGCACACTCCTCTGACATCCAACAGCTTGGCAATCAAGACCTCCTTACCCATGCTTGCTTTGAAGGACCCTCGCTGCAGGTTCCCTGTCCATGGTGCTAGGGAGGGACTCCCAGTTTGGTTCTTTGTATGGGTGGGAAGGACGGTAGCCCTTGTGTCTTTGAAGAAAAAGGAGGCAAAGGAAGCAAGAAGACAGATGGGAGAGGCCAGAAGGGCCCTTTGAGACTCACAGAAGTGCTCAGCTATGGAGCCCAGGAAGGAAAATGTGTAGGCTTGTCTCCCTTTCTCCCAAAAGACCCCTTAAGAGATGTCCAGTTTCCTACTCTCTCAAGAGTAAGACATAAAAAGCCTGACAGTGGTGGAACGTGCCTTTAATGCCAGCATTCATGAGGCAGAGGCAGATGGATCTGTGAGTTCAAAGACAGCCTGATCTACAGAGTGAGTTCTAGGACAGCCAGGACTTCACTGAGAAACCCTGTCTCAAAAACAAAAGAAAACAAAACAAAATAAAAATCCCAACAGATGCTATCAGAAGTAGACAGGTACAGACAGCAGGTGGAACGAGGATCCAGGTGGCCACTAGGACCACTCTGCCTTCTATATAAATGGTACCATCTGAGGAAAGAATTTCTTTGAGCCTCTGTCATTATCACAGGCATGAGCTGCTGAGCCAGAGAACCCTGAGCATAGAGATCTGGCCCTACACCACACCACCCTCACTTCCCTCCCAGGACGCTCTCCTACCCCAGCCTGCCCCAGATCAGAGTTTTCTAACCCCACATGGGCTTGCACACTTTTGTCTCCCAATGAGGCCAAGGCCACAGCTGCCACATCTCCCTTTGACACCTCGGTGGGTTTAGCAAACTCTTTCACTTCAGATGTGAAATGGGAGGGAGGGAAGAAGGGAGAGAAGGGACTTTACAAGGAAGCTGAATGCAGTTAAGTGGATACTACATCTCTGCCACCCTTGAATTCTGGAGTCTTGATGACATCTCCTTTGAACATGTCTGAAAGGAGCCCCAAACTCTTTTATGGTCACGCGTACAGAGATGTCTGTGATCTCCAGCACACACACTCAACTCACACTTTCTTCTTTTATATTTTCCATCACACTGACCCAAAGCTTTGGAACAAAATGGTATTAGAGGAGACCAAAGGCCCTATTGCATAAATTGGGAATGCCTCAGAGAGGAACATCATAGGTTACAGAGGTGGATATGAGTGGGGAAGAAAGCAAGAATCAATGCCCGGGAGAGAAAAGAGCGCAGGACTCTTTCATGTGGGTTCTGACTCCCTTGGGGGTTGAATGACCCTTACACAAGACCACTGGAAATCACATTTACATTATGATTCATAACAGCAGCAAAATTATAGTTATAAAGTAGCAATAAAAATAACTTTATGCTTGGGGTCACCACAGCATGAAGAACTGTACTAAAAGGTCACAGCATTAGGAAGGTTGAGGATCACTGGTGTAGGGGAAAAGAGCCCAAAGTGATGGCACAGGCTGGGTTCTGGAAATACAGCAGATGTTTGATTCAAGCCCTCATCTGGCAGGTTAAGTGACTTAGTCTTCTAACACCAGGTCAGGTATCCTAGTCAGGCCTTATGGCTCCTTCCCCAAGCCCTCTGAGACAACTGAGCCCTCAGCCTCCTGCATCCTCACTTCCCTAACTCCTGTGGCCCCCAGCTCCTGCTCAGTAACTTCTGTCCCACAAATTGCCCTCAACCATTCCAAGGGGTCATCAGCATGGGCTAGCAGACCTCCTGGGGAGCATGAGGACACTGCTCCAAACAGCTTCAAACTGGCAGGGGTTGGGGAGGAGACTCAGAACTGACTGTGCTCCCTAGAGTCCTCAGTCCAGGACTCTGTCCCCTCTGGGCTTTGATTGTTGGTTTGTTTTTCTGGAAGGAGGAAAGAGAGCTCAGCCACATTAAGTCTCCCTGGGCCATTTCATGCTGGGCCCCCAGCTGGGAGGAGTGAGCTGGCTAAAAGGTTCGCTCAGCCCTCTCAGCTAATTGCTCATTAAAAAGCATTAATGAGCTTCCCTTTGCCCCACCTCTGCCTAGAACAGAGCAGAGCCCTGCTCTGCCTAGATCACTGGGCAGTCCCTACTGAACAGCCAGTTGCTGCTGCTCGCAGAGCAACAGGCTCTCTTCTCTACCAAGTCCTACATTGGATCTGGCTCTCCCTCATCCTCTCCAGGGTGACCCTCCCACCCTTTGCTATCATGCTACTCCCCACCCCTACCCTCCCACCTTGCCCAAGTACTTCCAGCACTTACAACTTCTCCAGAAGGGACAGTCCCAAGAAGGAGCCATTGCGGAGCCCGGTAATCTTGTTGTTGCTCAAGAGCCTGAAGGGACGGGAAGAACACAGATACATGCTGTTAGGAGCCAGACCATGCAGAGCACAGATGGAGTGGGACCCAGGTTCCCAAGATGGCCATGCTGCGCTATGTAAATGCCACCCCCTGGAGTTATGCAGCAGGTGCCCCACCTGCCACTCTGGGACGTTGTAGGGAGATGCTGATCATCAGCCCAGCCACAGTGAGAGCCTCAAGTCCTACATTTCTCCCAGTGAAGCCATGAAGGGCCTGTAGGCTGGATCTGACTTGAGATGGGCCTCAGGAGATGTTAAGTTGTGACGGCCTCTTTCCACTTGGGAACCCCCGTGTTGGCCCTACTGAGCCCTCGCCATGCCCACCACAGCTCTGTCCCCTCAAAAACCCTCCCTCAACCCAAAATCCAGAGCAGAGTGGTGGGGAAGACTGGCCCCATCTGGTCAGGCATAGAAGAGGAGCTCTAAGGTGCACAGAGGCACACTCCTTTAATCCTGTTCTTGGGAAGTAGAGGCAAAAGAGCAAGGTCATCCTCAGGTATGTAATGAGTTTAAGCCAGCCTGGACCCAGTCTCAAAAACAAACACACACACAAACAAACAAGACACAGAAGGAATGGGAGAGCCCCCTGGTGGAAGGGGGCTTTCCAACACTCCTTGAAGCCAAGGACTCTACAGGAAGGTGACCACGCTGGGCCATCAAGGTCTCCAGATCCAAGGGCCTGTACTGTAACTGTATCATTGCCTCCCCAACCTGTGTAATGGAGCCCTTGATCTGATAGAAGGCCAGACCTCCCCCTTTGTAATGCCTGCCTGGACTTTTGTTAATTTAGTGTTTATGGTCTATAGAGGAGAGGGTCCCAGGCTCATCTTTGTCCACCCACTCAGCTTTTCTCCCAGACTTCTTGTTGGGAGGAAGGAGCTCCAGACTAGCCAAAGGCTCAACCCTCCAGTTGAGGGTTCTAAAACTCTCAGTGTATTAGAAAGCTTTAATGAGACCTCTCAACCTAAACTCTTGGCAGCCCTGGGTTGAAGGAAAGGGTTTCTCCTTCTTTGTTCTGTTCTTACTAGCAGAAAACTCACCGGAAAGCCTGAAGTACAAACCTTAAGATGTCTCTGGAGTAGACAGCCTCTGTGCTCCACAATATACAATGGAAAGATCTAGGAACCCAAACATAGAGGAGCTGTCAAAGAGATCTGCCCCCAAGCCTCATGGCAGCGAGGGGACAATGAAGCAGTGAAGGGCCCCTAGGCCCCAACTGTCCAGGGACTTTGAAATTCTAGGCAAGCGTTCCACTACTGGGCTAGATCCCAGGCCCCACACTGCCTAGGATGAAGGCAAGAGTGGGAAGGGTGTCTCTGGAGCAATGGAAAGAGGTAGACACCTCATCTCTAAATTTTCCACATGAAGCTCACCAGCTTCCAGTATGGTCTAGTAGTCCTTACACGGGTGACAAGGTATTTTCCAGCCGAAGAATAACTTAGGAGAAATTACTGGGTTTTCAAAATGACCCCCCCACTCCATCTTGATTATTTCAAAAAGCACATTATAGGTGCCAGCTGGATGCTGCATACTTATAACTATTGTCACTAGCACTCAAGAAGCTGAGACAGGAGGATCAAGAACTGAAGAACAGCCTCCACTAGAGTAAACCACCTCAAAAAAAAAAAAAAAAAAAAAAAAAAAAAAAAAAAAAAACAAGAGCACATCACGGCAAAACTGAGCTACAGCTCAGAGTAAGAATACGGTGCATGTACTTAACATGTATGAGGCCCTGAGTTCAGCCCTAACACACACAGCAAAAGCAAAATGAGAACCAAAAGGTACCTCAGACATAGGAAGAATTAGGAAGAGTTAACAAACTCCCCTTTTCTTGTTTTAAGCGTAAGGATGCCGGTACAGGGTTCCAGTTCACAAATGGAAAAGCCCCAGAAAACATCGGTGCTCAAGCTTGAAAAATGGATGTTAACTTGGAGTTGGAAACAGATCTGAGTTCTGGGGAATGTCTGAGGATTGAAGATTCCAGTTAGAAAAACACTGACATTAAAAATCCTACACTACACTCTGGGAGGCAGAGGCAGAAGGATCACATTGAGTTCGAGGCCAGCCTGGTCTACAAAGCGAGTCTAGGACAGCCAAGGCTACAAAGAGAAACCCTGTCTCAAAAACCAACAAAAATCCTACACTAACTAGAATAGTGGTGCTTGCCTTTAATTCCAGAACCCAGGGAGGCAGAAGCAGGCGGATCTCTTTGAGTTTGAGGCCAGCCCTGTCTACATAGTGAGATTCAGGCCTTTGAAGGGATACATAGTGCAGCATTCTCTCAAAACAAATGAATGAATGAATAAATAAAAGTAGATCTTGGGTTTGATAGATGGTTCAGCAGTTAAGAACACTTTCTGCTTTGTAGAGGACCTGTGTTCCCAGCACCCACATGGCAGCTCACAGCCATCCATAGTTCCAGTTCCAAGGGGATTCAATGCCTTCTTCTGGCCTCTGTGGACAGCAGGCATGCACACAGAATATATGCATAATGTAAATGTAGACAAAGCACAGCTATGAAATATATATATATATGTATATATATATATACATATATATATATATATTTTAATCTTAAAAAAAACAGGCACAATTTTTTTTTAAAGGCAACTCTTTAGGCCAGGTGTGGTAGTGCACACCTTTAATTCCAGCACTTGGTAGGCAGAGGCAGGTGACTTCCAGGCCATCCAGGGCTACCTAGTAAGACTATCTCAAAATAAGTAAGTTAATAAATAAATCATTTAAAACATGTTTTCTTAATCCTACACTAGGGGCCAGCAAGACTGTTCTTCAGTGGCTGGAGGCTCTTACTGCCAAATCTGATGACTTGAGTTTGAGCTCCCAGGATCAACACAGTGGAAGAAGAGGATGATGCTTGCAGATTGTCCTCTGACCTTGACATACATACTCAAACCCTAAATAAGCATAAGGGGAAGTCCTGTACTAACAAAGTGTTCTCTTTTCCTGTTTTTCCTCCTTTTGCCTCTCTCTCCCTCTTCTTCCCCCCATAGTTGCTTTCTTCTTTAAAAACAAAACAAAACAAACAAACAAAAAACTTGTGTGTGTGCTTGTGAATAGGGAACCCATCACAGTGCTCATGCCAAAGGTCAACTTGCAGAAGTTGGTTTTCTTCTTCTACTGTGTGGGCTCTGGGACTAGAATTCAGATTTCAGGTGGTAAGTGCTCTTACCCTTAGGGCCATTTTGCCAGCCCTGCTTTCCTCATCTTTTACAAATGTTATTATGTACATGTGTATCTGCTGCTTGGTGTGTGTATGGGTGTGCAGGTTCCTATGCAGGGGAGAGAAGTTGGATTTCCTGGAGTTGGAGTAAGGGGGCATTGTTAGCCACCTGATGTGAGTGCCAGGACTTGAACTCTGGTCCTCTCTTCATCACTGAGTCATCCCTCCAGCCTCTGCTTTTTTTCCTCTTTTGAGACAGGGTCCTGCTTTGTCATCTAAGCTGTCCTGGAGCTCATGATCTTTGTGACTCTCCCTATCAGATGCTAGGATTACAGGCATGAGACACCAGGCTGAAAATGCTTTCTAATAAATAATTAATTAAATATTATACATATGGCAACTCTTGAAAGATCATTGAGTCAAAATCATAGTTCTAAAAAAAAAAAAAAAAAAAAAAAACCCAAAAGTTTATTTTCCCAAATTTCGAAAACAAGAACCTGTGATCTCAGGTAAAGAATCCTGTCCAGATGGGTACATAAGTGGTAATGGGGTCCCCACAGTTCCAGGCCTTTCAGCCATCAGTCCTAACCCCTTTCTCATATCCCAAACCTTTGACTTAGAGCTGTCCCATGGAAATACAATGTGAACCACAATGTATAATTTTACCCCTCTGTCACATCTTGTACCTGATTTAACCCAACATACCCAGAGTCTTTTTCACTTCACCGTGGTGTAATCTGTTTACATCATTATTAATTAGACGTTTTGTTTCTTTGTGTGTGAGGAATATTTGGAATCTGGAGTGTGCTGTTCTCCGCCAGTACCTCTCAGTTCAGACCAGCCACACTCCAAGTGTGCCATCTAACACCACGGGCTTCAGGAGCATCGAAAACAGTGAGGACCAGCCAGTGAGGCAGTCTGGGATGAAACCCAGGACCAGAGCACATGCCTGTAATCCCAGCAGCAGGGGCAGGCAAATCACTGTGAGTTTAAGGCCAGTCTACAAAAGTGAGTCCAGGAGAGCCAAGGCTACACAGAGAAACCCTGTCTCAAAAAAAAAAAAAAAAGAAGAAGAAAGAGAGAGAAACTCAGACCAAAACAACATCTCTTGGCCTGGCCAGCTCTGGACCACATCCTATCTTATTCTCCTTCTCTATATACTTCTGTGCTGGGAGAAAGCAGAGCCGCAGTGTACACAGCTGCAATCCACGATTCTGGCTTGACTGGCACAAGTGCTACCCCCTAAAATCTCAAGACTCATATATTTTCTAGATGCAGAGACCATGAGCCAGATCACCACACACACAAAGGCAGGCATGAGGCAAACAGCTCTTTATCCTTTTCCAGTGGGCTCCACCCATTCCAGGAAGCAGTGGCACTTTTGACAGACTCCAGCAGATGGCTGGCTTCTATGGCCTGAGTCCCCAAACACCCAGAACTGGATCTTTTGCTTTAATTACCCTGAGAGGGCCAAGGAATTTCATTTTAAACCTGAATCACCCAGGGAGTATTTGTGGGCTGTTTTCTCCTCAAGGAATTTATTTTTACTGCTGCGGGGCATGGGACCCAGGGTCTTGTGCATACCATGCTCTCAAGTCTGGAGATGTTCAAGGCAGGCAAAAAACAAAAACCAAACAAACAAACAAAAAAAACACCCTGGAAGTTGCACAGCTGATAGTGGGGTGGATGAACACAGACACACACACACACATACACACTCAGCTTCATCCAACGGGAAGAAAAATGTTCCCACCATTGTTGACTGTCTCGTGGGAAGAAAAGAGGGAAGCTGC